CTTTGTTATTCTCTGCACCGGTTTGATCAGGTATGCCGCGATCGGATGTTCAACTCGATGTTTCCTTTGCAACTCTTCGAACCACGTTCCACCATGAGTGACCAACAATTGATTACTTTCCGGTTTATTTTTGCAATACGTCACGTACATGTCGAATTTAGGAGCCTGGTAAAAACCGAAGAGGTAAAAGAGAAAAAAGACAAATTAATAATTCGGAGGTAGGTAGAGAGAGCACCACCTAAGCATAGCACGGATATATAATAATAGCTTACCCACGTGACGAAACAATGCCCAACATCTTCCGGCATAGTCTCGTACTTTTCCAACTCGCGAAGAAACACGTTACTGTGAAACTGATGAATCTCTTCCATATTGCTAAAAATGATCGATTCTCGGCCTTGCAATCCAGACGGAACGTTCCCTTTACCGCATCGCGTCTCTTCCAAAAAGCATCGGATACAAGTTTCCAAATCCTTCACGTAAGTTCGTTCCGTTTGCAGCAGTTCAGCCATTATAAATCTGTAAAGCACGAGAGCACGTTGCAGCAAACGACGTTGATGAAACGCCTGACAGACGCGATGTCAGCTGTCACGCAGGGGCGGCCGCGACAACGACAACGACAATCATTCAGAATTCATATCATCGTATCGATAATTCGTCAAAGAGAAACGAAACGTACTCTTTCCTCCTTGCCGATCTCCTTTTCTCTTCGTTCAATTCCTTCAGATCTTTCCCCTTGATTTTCTCCTCGAGCAGAGGATCGGAATTCCGATCGATGGAGAATGGATCTTTCTGACCGTCGTCGGATTGAATTCCCAGATCTTCTTCGATCTGAGCTTTGTAGCAATCCATCCGCGTACTAAAGTCCTTGTATCGTTGATCCACTTCGGCCACCGACTGTTTGATCGCCGCTGCATGAGCGTGCCCTTTCTCCACTAGATTATCCGCAAGTTGAATCAACAGCTTCACCCTTTCTCGTGTTTCCTATCCGACACACAAACATAGAAGAGAAACATAGAAGAAATAAAATAATAAAGTGCGCGTACGCAACGATAGACAACACAGTATAGAAAACAGAAACAGAAACAGAAGCGAGAAAGGAGAAAGATGCCAACCTTCGCAGCTCCTTTGAACTCGTTGTGCTCGCGCAACAACTGTTCGTTCTCGATGCGATTTTTACCGACGTTGGTGTGCGTGGCTAAATACAATTCACCCGTTTCCCTGATCCATTCCAGAGCCTGTTTAGCACTGCGCTCGAACAACACGTACTGATGACACTGATCCAATCGCTTCTTACGCTGCGTCCAATACTCGAGCACGCGATTTTCTTTACTCAGCAACTCTTCCAAAATACCTGCAACGCGGTCGTTCATGTTTGAAGTGAAAAAAATACGTGCAAACCCAGCCTACGTATCGTACGTATCGTAC